AGATCTGTCGCGGGTACTTTGATCAACAAGAAGGACGGGTATAGTATTCCTCGCGGGTGATATGAATGCACAAGTTCGTCTGATAGCCCCGAAGGAAAAACTGTTAGGTGGCAGATTTGGAGTCGATGCTGAGCGTAAGAATAGTGAGAATCGACTTATTTGGTTGTGCGAAGGTGATCATCTTTTCAAAGCCATTACGGACTTTCAGCGAAAACGCTCACATCGGGCTACTCTAAGGCCACCCTCCACAAGACATTCATGGACTCATTTGGGCCATGCGGCTACCAGTTATCGATAGACAGGTTGATTAGGAATAGTCGTTCCTTCAGAGCAAGGAAACTGACTCTTATCATGCCACCGTGCGGGCCCGTTCACTACTTCACCTTCCGTCGGCATTACGCGTACCGAAGGAGAACAGCCCCATTCACCAACTTCGACAGGTTTCGGTAGCTTAACAATATTGAGGTAGCCTGAATAGCAAGCTACTGGAAACGCACAGTCATGCAGATGACGAAGATCGCTTGCCGGCTGAGTGGAGGCGAGGTAAAATAGCTATGATCACGGCTTTTAGAGCCGTCTGTCCAGGCCATCTGACTGAACAAAATGAACAGCACATATCACAGAGACCGACATATCTTATTGCTGTCGGAAAGGTCATACCAGCAACTAAGAATAATGATGGTGCACGCAGATTCCTCAAACACCGAATAAACAGGAACCTGAATAACGACAAAACCCTGGTACATTTGGAGTGCTCAGAAGATGGAAAACAGCCGGAAACGGCCGCGCCTTGTCTTGAGAAATTCATCCAACCGTTCAGGAGAAGGAAGTGTCAGTGAAACGATGTGCAACCATGACGGAACGGCAATTCACTCCCCGCATCGTCGGTTTGAGCGACAGACTGAATACTCGGAAGAACAATTCAGCTAGCCTCATTAAACTCAAACGCTGGAGGAACCTAACAGGCCGGCACCACTCAGCCATCAGTAACCGAAATCCAGCACCAAATATCAGTCATCAAGCGCGATGGGGCACCCGGCTCGTATGGTAAAGATGACGAGGCCTCGGTAAATACCGTGATTAGCATGCTGCGAAAGATTTGGAACGAACGCAGAATACCAGCGGAATTAAACTCTCCGACAGTCATAACATTTTTCAAAAAGAGTGCAAGAAAGCCATGTGATGACCACCCTGGCATCAGCCTAGCATCCGTCACATCTAAGGTTCTCTCTGAAATTATTTGGCCCATGTTGATGGATCATCGGGATAGGCCGATTCCTGAGAGTCAGGCTGCCGAACAAACGCAGAATACCAGCGGAATTAAGCTCTCCGACAGTCATATCATTTTTCAAAAAGGGTGCAAGAAAGCCATGTGAAAACCATCCTGGTATCACCCTAGCATCCGTCAAATCTAAGGTTCTCTCTGAAATTATTTGGCGCATGTTGATGGATTATCCGGATAGGCCGATTCCTGAGAGTCAGGCTGCGTTTCGCTCCGTCCTAGGATGTATTACCCATATCTTTACCTTGAGGTAAATTTTTTAAAACCATCGCTCCCTTGGATGTACCACGTTTTTCGTTTTTCTTGGTCTGAAAGCTGTATATGATTTTGTTGACCACCGGAGAATTTTGCGATGGCTGGCGATCAAAGGTCACCTTGCTATTGTGTAACCCTTTTGAGGACATTGTGTGCGGAATCAGGTTGGCGCGCACGAGTATACGACAAGCTTCCGCCTGAGTTCAGAGTGTCCAGTGAAGTCAGGCAATGTTCCCCTTAGTAACCTCGCCTCTTCAACCAGGTCATTGACGTGCTGCCTTAAATTTCTCTGCCTGCCTCTGAAAACGTGGGAGTTAAAACCCTCTTATGCGTTCGCTCATATACATTGAGTATGTGGACATGCACTTAGGACCACAAAGCATTCTAAATAGCTCTGCCGCACAGTTTATCATGCAGCAAACCGTAAACTGCTGCTACAAGACTAGGTTGATTCATGCCAGAACCTCATGCTTGCAGGCGAGCCATGTGACGAGATTGACGAATTTCTTCGCCGTGGCAGTTGCATAAGTTTCAGTAGGTCGCCGGAGATGAGAATGGCTCTCGGATTGGGGAGGCCAATGCAGCTTCTGCTAACCTCCGACGCCTATGGCGCCGGCGTGACTTGCGTTCGTCTTTGGCGGTGTGATTCAGACCGCTATTGGTTTACAGGGGTGAGCTGTACGCGTGAAGGGCATACGAGGGATGTCAGTATTTGACCACTGATGCCTCCGGAGCATTGATCAGGTCTGGTACGGTTGAGGGACCCAACCATGCCTCAATCGGCATGTTCCTTACACGTTGGGGAATGGACCTATCATTATTGTTTCATCGGACACTCCCACTTTTATGGAATTTCCACTTTTTCGTGCAGATTCCAGTACCCGCAAACCGCCCAGTCGTGCTGTGCTGCGACTGTTAACGTGTGATCATGCCTGACAGTGCGAAACCCACAAGTTTGGAATAAACATTATTATTATTGTTATTGTTATCATTGTTATCGGACTAGAAATACTGTGATGCACCAAATTTTCTTGGGAATAAGGAAATCTCCCATGATAGGTGGACTAATCACGTTTCATCGGAAGGAATCCAGGACTGAGCTCACCACTGGTAAATTGTAATAGTAAAAGCAATAGCCCAGTCGCGCAGTCAGTGGCACTCGTGCATCAACATTATCGCCTTCAATGCGTAGCCACCCAATTTCCGAACTAACCGAAAATGCTATCGTCTCTGCTATCGTCCCGCTGCTCCACAAACTCGAGTCTTACGGGATTCAAGGGAAAATCCTTCGCTGGATCAAGGCGTTCCTATCAGAGAGATCATTTCGAGTGAGAATAGGCTCAACCTATTCCTCTCCAGCGCCGGTCTCCATTGGAGTTCCTCAAGGCTCCGTCTTGGGACCACTCCTGTTTCTGATCTTATCGGACTAGAAATACTGAGATGCACCAAATTTTCTTGGGAATAAGGAAATCTCCCATGATAGGTGGACTAATCACGTTTCATCGGAAGGAATCCAGGACTGAGCTCACCACTGGTAAATTGTAATAGTAAAAGCAATAGCCCAGTCGCGCAGTCAGTGGCACTCGTGCATCAACATTATCGCCTTCAATGCGTAGCCACCCAATTTCCGAACTAACCGAAAATGCTATCGTCTCTAATGCTCTGCCGTATATCCGCTACCCCCTCCCACTTTCCGGTGCTCGAAACTGTGGCAGTTTGGACCAGTGCGGCCTGAGACCACCCGCCCCTAATGATTGTACATCACGTCAATTGGACGGACTACAAGCCAACGAAGGCATCCCCTGATTGGTCAGAATGTCAGGGACTCTAGATCGAGCATCTTTAGGTCGACGCTTCTCGCCCACCCCCAACTCAAGTATATTCCAGCAAGATCTTATGGAACATTCTGTGATGACCCTATGAATAAGGTTGTAGTAATCATCCTTTTCTCCATGAAGAGCAGTCTAAAGCGTAGGCGCCTCTTGATGTAACATACTCAGCGGAGTAGGAAGCCAAGGACCGACACTGCGTTGCACGATCGTCCAGCAATTCACTGAATATCCCATCGCCTTCAAGGCTTGGCTTCATGTCCCGCACTCTCCTACTTTCCGGTGGTCGAAGCTGCAGCGGTCAGAATCAGCGTACCTATTGTACACGGTTTATAGCTGATAAATTGATTGGTTGGTTGACCTGTTGATAGTCGTCTGCGCGGTACCCGTGTGGTAGAAGCTCTAGAAAGTGAATCCCCTGACACAATTTATTATGTCTGCTTACTTCCCAACTAACCGTAGTCCTGGTTATTTCAAAGACGTTTCTTTGGCGCGCTAGGTGCTCTTTCACAATCGGCTGGCGACGTGAGCGCTGCTGAGGCCCAACTGGGTGTTCGTCTTGGGTTGGACGTGCAGCGAAGGGATGAAGGAGATAGCCTGTTTCAGATATATACTGACCACAGAGTGTTCCTTTGCAGTACCGGTTTCCGGAACAGTGGAAATCGGTCGACACCGTATCCAAATAGACCACGTCGTCGTCAGTTATCGGTGGTGACAGTAATCACCGCCTACCGCTCATCCTAGAACGCTAAAGTGGATTCTGGCCACGTGCTGCTGTCTTCATTGCGCTTTTAACGTCTAAGCAAAACGCACACACCTCACTTAGCCATTAAGAAGATAGTGGAACCAGAAGTCAGACGGAGGTATCAGAGGGTCTACCGGATGGTCTGATAATGGATATTAACGGCCACTGGTAACGTCTGCTCAAAGTGCTACTCTAGGTCGGAAATTCCGTTTACGATTAAACCTAGCCAACTTCATTTAAACATTGGATCTCTGACGAGGCTTTGTCTTTGCTGGAGGCCCGGCAACAGATCCCCCTGTCACAGCACCCCACCCGACGCATCATCCAACGCCAGGTGGAACTGAGTCTCCATGTAGACCGCCACGCTTTGTGGACTCGAAACACAGAATAAATTGAAGATTTAGAAAATTCCGAAAACGTCCGCAGTATGTCCCAATTCATTTGTCTCAGTGGTCACCGGAAGCCGCTTGAGCAAAATTTTCAGAGATTAAAGTGGCTTCCCAATATCTGGGAGAACGTTTGGACTCGTGGGCAAAGTACTTCGAACAACAGTCCAGCTGTTACCGCCAATCCGGACTCCTGGTCTTTAAAGGGCGGGAAGGCTGGTTGGTCATGGTGCGAATTTACCGACCAGGAGGTTTGTAATTCGACCTCGACCTCTGCATCTCGATTTCCCCTGTCTAGGCTTGGGCAACCTGGCACTATCTTATCCGTGGTGCTTCCTTCGTTCGGCGTGCCAGCTGGGCACCGAACGGTTTTGCAACTGAACGATTATTATTTAGTTACCTGGCTTTAAACAGAAAGGTGGACTGTAAAAGTAGTTTCCGAGTGTATCTACTCAGATGTCATTATGTTGCTTCCTTACACCCGCTCTGTTCAAGGGAGCAAGATGGCTCAGTAGGTAGAGCGCGAATTTACCGACCGGAAGGTTAGTGGTTTTAACCCGACTTCCGCCTCTCGATTTCCCATCTAGTCTTGGGCAACCTGGCAGTATCCACATTAAACCAAAATGAAGTGCTTTCCCGCCACGTGCTGGCTACTACCAAACAAGAACCGGGCCAATTAGTCGACGCGTTCCTGCAAAAAATACG